AGGGGTCCGGCCGCGGATCTGACAGCAAAATATCGGCTCCGAGCCGCCTGGAATCGAAAGTAAAACTGCCCAGCGGGGGTGGGCAGGCCTGCTGCCCCGCCAGCGGGCAGGGGGGCTTCTTCGCTGCCACTTCCTCTCCTGTCCTGCCTCTCATCTTTCAGAAACTTACGGCTGGGTTTATTTTCTTCTCGTTGGCCGTGATCTTTTTCTTATCTTCCTTGTCTTTAGAAGAAACCGGAATTGCTTTTCAATTCTGGAAACTTTTAACACGCTGAAAAACCTCCAAGTGTAAACAGACAAATCTCGTCCCCTTTAGAAAGTGCATCACCCGACACTTGAAAGTGGGACCCCTTGCATGCGTTGTTTGTCTCTCTAACTTGTTTTCTAATAGAGTAGCTGCATAAAGGAATACTTACGTGGTTAAATTAACTTCCAATAGCAGTACAAAAATAATGGGAAAAACTTTAGTAAAGCAGGCACTCCTCGTATCTGATGTTTGTACAATGGTATTTCTCCTCCCATGCGTGTTTTGATAAGGATTGCAATTCCGATTCATGCAGTTGCAGTCTCTCTGTGATAAACTTCTTGTAGATGTGAGAGAATTAAGCAGTTCAAGGCAAGGTGGCAGTGTTTATGCTTTGTGGTTACATTAGTGATGCTGATCTTTAATACTTTGTACAAACCTTTGGAAGCCTTGAGAATAAGCCCTTACATTGATGTTTTCTGTTAAGTGTTGCCTAATGCCATCAATTTTTCGTAGAGTGAGATCGGTGTGAAAAGCGGAATAGAAATTCCAAAACAATAAATAGCTCTTAATTAACCTTGAGTTCAGGCAGGAAAAATAAACATAGTTTTCACTTAAAAAAAAAAAAGCATCTATAGGTGATTGAACTAAGATGATAGAGGTTCAGAACTTCTAAATGTCACTACAGATATCAATGGCAAGTGGTCCAAGAGCCCATTGAACTCATGTCTTTTGTCTTCTCTGGTCTAATTTTGAGCTGTGAAGCACCAGTTCCTCCTATCTGTTGGCTTCTGACGTTCATTTCTCCTCCTTTCCTTTTCACCAGTATGCTCACATAAGCATTAGGTACTACATAGAAGTTCCTTTTTTTTTTTTTCCAATAATTCCTTAACATTCCCTTAATTTGGACCCAACTGTGTATCTTCAGCCTATCTTCTTTCATAGGTTTCCTGTGAAAATGGGACTTAGGTGAGCCTGCTGCCTGTCCATTTCTTTTTTTCCTCTGTATCTTAT